TTCATTTACAGGTTTAACATCCATGACAGATATATTGTATGTAAAAAAAGGGTCTGCTATTACATTTGAGTGTCCCTACCATTCAATAGATATCCCTGTTCAATGGCGCGGTCCCACAAATCTGACAGTAATTTCTGATGGAAACAACATAAAAGACACGCTACAACATTTTAACAGACTGACTATAACTGGACAGCATGAAATTGGAGAATATAATCTCCAAGTAATTGATTTCAATGCAGACGACCAAGGACTTTACCGTTGCAACTCAATGGTAAATGGCTTTGCCGTGCAAAAGGATTTCATAGTGCATTTATCTAGTAAGTAAATAATAATATGTGCTAACGTCATTTATCAACCAATTCAATATATGTAATGTATACTGCAACTTTTTCTATTTGCGCATTTTCCGCATAATCATCGGCATTGTGCAGTCCCTGACCGGATAAATCCTTGCTTGCGACGTTGATTTTTTGTTTCCGTAGAGTTATCTATTATGGGTCACGTAATTGTTAATTCAAAAGTGTTAATTCTTACCAACATTTTTTTATTTACTAACGATTTAAGAGATGCAGTATAGATTAAAAATCACACAATGTCTCGAAACTTAAAATGTATTTGTACTCGGCTCAGCAAATCGTCACATGTTTCCTGTTTCAAAACTTTGTACAATATGTAGTTATTAAACTGTAAACAGAAAACGTATTATATATGTGGTTAAGTAGAAGATACCTATAAATATTGTGAATTTAAAAACCTTTAAATGTTGTGACTTTATTTTACTTGCATCAGAGACATTTATATAGTACCATATTCGTGTCTCTTATTTGCATTAATCTCTTTTTTCGATAGTTCTTTTGTTATTCATTTGAAACTTATCACTCAGTTAACAAAAGGCATATAAACTTTATATATATACTTTATTTACACAATATTTATTTTTGCAGACAAGGACTGCACGATAATGATATAAGTTACAAAGATGGATATCACAGCTGAAAAAAACTGAATTTTAAATTTTAAATGTCGATGACAAAGAATTTAAAAATTATCCACGTCTAAATTTTAAATAACTGACCAATATTTATACACAACAGTTGAAACCTAAAATGCATTTTAAACATCCATTTCTCGAAAAAGAGTATGCTCAACATTCGTCTTGAAAAACACGTACATGTAAATGTCTGTTATTAACGTCAAACATATAATCGCCCGAGTCTTTAAAGAAAATGTTAATACATGTATAAAATAAGAACTTATGTTGTAAACTATTAAATTTATCTAACATTACAAGCCAAGAGAAAACAAAACTAGAGAGAATCGTATGAACTTCAAAGCGGAGCGAGACAGGATGCGTCGACAGATTCTGAGAGTCTATTTCCATTTCGTATGCAGTTGTATATCTATCTTTAATTTACGATTTCCAATTGTCCCTTGTTTTATTTAAGTATACAAAGGACAAGAGAACATTTCCTTTTTTAGACGGCGATGTTCCTTTGGCTCCATCATACGGTGTTTATATATCCCAACTCGTTCGTTATGCCCGTGTGTGTGTGATGTCATAGATTTTAACGAACGTAATGCATCACTGGTAAATTAGTAAGTCAGGGATTTCGTTACCATAAATTACTTGAAACTTTTACTAAATTCTTTCATAGATACAAAGATTTGATTAGTAAATTTGGCTGTACCTGTAGAAAACTTATTAAAAACGGTATTTCACATCCTAAATTTTACGGTAATATTGTACTAAAAGTGCAGAAATCACTCTGTGATCCGTGTAAACTCATCGAACCTTTAAACAAACTTATTAGTAAATGTTATCTTATTAATTTTGTAATAAGATCTTTGAATATTGTTTACATTGGCACAAATATCGATTTCAACAAATTAAAACATAACTAAATTTGTATTCTTTTCGAATGTTTTTTTGGATGTATAAATACACATCCACGTTCATTTTCTATATAAAGATTGCTTTATCTATATATAACATTACACATATTTATTATGAGGTTAAATCCAAACTATCCTACTGCCTGTCGATACTTTTATTTTGGCATTGTACAAGTCATGTCTTCTTTGACTGTCCATGGCGTTAAAACACTTAATCACTGGGATGTGTTTTAGTTGATTTTAGTCTCTGATGCATGATTTTTTATTATTAATTGTTTTTGGCTTTTAACTAGCTTTCAGTAACTGCGAGTACTCTCAAATCGTACTCTCGTGTTAATTTGACCTGTTACACAATTTGTAATGCATTTTTGTTATTCAATGTTTACTTATTTTGTGTTATATCTTGTCTCACTGTTTTTAATATGTACCAAATTTGATAAATATTTAGTATGACGATAAATTTTCACTGCTGTTCTCGTACTATGAACAACAAATTTATTCATTTTGTAATAAATGTCTCTGTGCACCTAACAACAAAATTATTATATCTAAATTTACCTGTGTGCGTTATTTTATTTAACGCCATTTTGTCCGAGGTTATAGTTGTCTTTTTGACATTGTGTCATAGATCAAATTTATTCGATGTGTATATATTTACATGTTTTTGTTAATATGTCTTTTTGATTGAGTTAAGCCATTACAATTGATATTTTATAGTGTGTCTTTATATGTTGTAATGTTACACTACTATTTCAGGTAAGGGGGAAGGTTGGCGCCTATTAAAACGTTTAAACCCGCTGCATTTGTTTTTACCTGTCCTAAGTCAGGAACCTGTTTCGGTGGTTGTCGTTTGTTGATGTGGTTCTTAAGTGTTTCGCGTTTCTCGTTTTTTTATATAGATTAGACCGTTGGTTTTCCGGTTTGAATTGTTTTACAATAGTCATTTTTGGGCCCTTTATAGCTTGCTGTTCGGTGTGAGCCAAGGCTCCGTGTTGAAGGTCGTACTTTGACCTATAATTGTTTTCTTTTTACATATTGTGACTTGGATGGAGAGTTGTCTCATTGGCACTCACACCACATCTTCTTATTTCTAACCACTATCATTTTGTTTTATATTTATAGAAAAACCTGCAGATATGTTCATAGAAAATGCGACCTCAGACGGTATCCTTGTAGTAATTGAAGGGAACGAAGCAACCATTGCATGTTTTGTTGAAAGTGGTATACCAAAAGAGGAAATGATTTTATATCAGAATCATCAAAAAGTAATAACTGGTGGGCCTGGATGCATCACATATACATTTACACCGTCAAGATCTGATCATCTTAGTAACTTTACTTGTACTGCCAACAACAACTACAGTTCGGAAATAGAAACGACTATTAAACTATTTGTTAAAGGTAAAATGATAAATAATATACTATAAAGACCTATCCGTATATGAGTAATCCAAATGTAGCCTATAGTGGGATTTGGGATGTTAAAAGAATGTTTTATTCCTAATTTTGTAATTAGCTAGGGCTAAATAGAGTATATGAACCAGACTATACTGTGCTTACTAAAATTGTGAGTCAATTATTAAATTTTGTTGTATAAGAATAAGACTGCACTTTTAATACTAAAAATTGTGCCCCATTAATAGCAAACTTGTTCCTGTACTGTTATGAATCACAGTTTATGGTCAAACTCAGTAGTAAAGACCCGTCTAAATTCGATTTAATTGATAAATTCAACAAAACTTACCGTTATCTTGATGATACTTTTTCGTTGAATAATCAAGATAATAAACATACTGACGAAATTTACCCAAAGGAACTTACTTTAAATAAATCAAACATTAACAACAATAACTGTCCTTTTCTGAATTTGGATATTCAGTTTTACACGAGAAACTACATAAAAATCTTACGGTGTTTATATATCACAACTCGTTTGCTATGCCCGTTTATGTAGTGACGTTTTGGATTTCAAAGAGCGTAATCTATGTATATCTGGTAAATTATTAAGTTAGGGATTTCGTTACCACAAATTACTTAAAACCTTTACTTAATTCTTCCATAGACACAAAGATTTGGTTTGCAAGTTTGGCTGTACCTGTAGAAAACCTATTTCCAACGGAATAGCACATCCTAATGTTTAGGGGAATGTTGCTTACTTATCCCGAAAATTTAGATACGATTTAAAAAATTAAATAAATAAACTCATCAATCCTTTCTTCTAAAAGGTCACCAATTCAACACTGTAATTAGATCCTTGAATATTGTTTTAATTTGTATAAATATTGATTTTGATATCAGTAAATCAAAACCATACTCAATATTATTGTTATACACATATGCACATTCACATTACTACAATCTGCCGATACCTATATTTTGGCATTGCACAAGGTCTTGTTTTTCTCTGACTGTTAATGACGTCTTTACACTAAATCCATTGGATGTTGGGTGTTTACTGATTGATATTTTAGTCTTAGATACATGGTTTTTTTATTATTTTTTATTGGCTTAGAACTAGCTGTCAGTAACTGCGCGTACTCTCATATCTTTACTTAGTGTCTTTTTGATGTGGGATGTATAGATACGCTGCTACGTCCGGTCTGTGTTTTCGTTTGATGTTTTCTGATTGGTATTGATCTGATGAGTAAAGTCCTTTTCAACTGATTTGTATGGTGTGTTCTTGTGATGTACTGTTACCCCACTGTCCCAGGTTAGGGGGAGGGTTTGACGCCAGCAAACTGGTTTAACCCCGCCACATTCTACATGTGCCTCTCCAAAGTCAGGACCATGTAGTTCAGTGGTTGTCGTTGGTTTATGTCTGTCATATTTGTTTTTCGTAAATTGTTTTATTATAAATTAGGCCGTAAGTTTTCTAAATTAAATTGTTTCATATCGGAGCCTTTTATAGCCGACTATGCTGTATGTTTTTTCCCCATTGTTGAATGCTGTATGGTTGCCTATAGTTGCTTACATCAACTTCATTTGAACTTTGGTGGATAGTTGTCTCATTGAGAATCATACCACATCTCCATATTTTTTTTATTGGAGATAATTGTAATTTATACTGCACTACTTTTAAAAATACGTTTTTCTTTACAGCGTCCCCTCGTGTTAGAATTCAAGGGAGGAGAAATATCAAAGTGTCTGAAGGATCAAATTCTAATCTTACTTGCCTCATCGATTCTCCTACTATAGAAAAGAACAATGTTACATGGATTTTTAATGAAAATAAGGAAATAAGAAGGTTTGATAGATTTGACAAAAGTGTAACTGTATTACACATATCAAGAATTCACCGTAAAAATACTGGATATTATAAATGTCAAGTAGAAAATGAATTTGGATTTGGAGAAGATTCTGTTAAGATCAATGTCACATGTGAGTTTATTCAATAATGTTAATAAAATGAAATTTTGTAGGCGTCAGCGAGACAGAAACTCGAGAGCACGGCAACCGTTAGACGTTTAGATATCAACATTCAGTTTAAAAAAGAGAACAAGTGTACATGTCATAGCTTAAGGCAATAGTAGTTAACCGATGTTCAATCTAGAAATCTATTTAAAAGACAAATCAAGATAACAGACAAAAAACTGCAGGAATCGTTTGAACTCCAAACGGAGTGAGGCCTGTTGCGTCGATAAGGTTCGCGTCTCCACCATGCGAATTCACTCCAAGTCAAAATGTCTCGATTAGGAATAGGATAAAAACGGGAAATTACAGATAAGATCGCAAAAAACATATCCCTAGTGAATTAAGATACAGACACATCGTATGCAGTGTCAATTTTAGCCGTTCTTCTTCATAACTATGTTGGAGCAGTTTTTCTGTTAATAGCACACCTTGCTTATGAAGTCCGTATAGTGTGCATATATGCACGAGTGTAACTTGTCAGTTGAGATATGTTAATGCTATTAAAGTTGTACAGTAAGTACTCATTGTAAAACCAACTGTCTGTTGAAATACCAATCCAACAAACTCAATAAATATGTTGTCGATCAAAGAGACCAGCATTTTGACGATATTATCCTCGTTGTATTTGTTTTTAGATTCAGTTTGGTTCTTCACAAATCAATACTTTTCGTGACTTAAATTAAGCAATTTGTATTTACGATACCCATATTTGTAGAAATTGCTATGTTTAATGAGAAGATATATTCGATCTTTCAACATGGGGTTGTGAATAGTAGGGTAAAGCGTAGAAAAATCAAATAAAATTATTTTTCTCCAAAATTGTAAAGATTATGATTGACGATTTAACAGTAGGCCTTTATTTTTTGTTATCCACATCTGATTAAAATATACCTCATCATATTATTTCTGAATGTCATCTTTTACTGTACAAAGAGTGGTGGTTACTTCATATGACTAGTTCAAAATTGGCCAGAGCGAGGTAATTTTTTTAATGAAATTATAAGTAACTAAAGACCTTCCCTATGATATAAAAAAAAAAGTTAAGAACAATCACTGTCGAGGTTACAAACCGCCCGTACAGAAAAAAAGTTGTTTCAAACTGCAAATATTAAAAACTAATTTCAATCAAAATATATTATACAAGATGCAATTATTTAACAACATAAACACATTTATAACCTTTATCATTGTCCGCATGGTACTGTGAAGTTTCCTTCAAAAGAAAGTTATTTAGCATCGATGAATCAGTATTTCAATGTTAATAGTCTTTACGGACAATTACAATGTAAAATAAATGGAATCAAAGTACTGAAGTACTGAACATCGGATGACCGCATGTTCTTGTGGATGGTCCGACAAGGACTTGTCTCAGAAAAAAATCACATCTCTATACCTGAAAGTGAGGTTAATGTACAGATATAATTTTTTCTGGGACAAGTTCGTGCGTGGATGATAAATTAATGACAGGGAATTCAACCTCACCGTAATGACTATTATATTGTAGTGATACAAATCAGTATACTCTGGTTTATTGTTATATATTATATTAATACTTGTATATTACAGTTACATGTATATATAATTTGCATGCATTTGTATATCATTCTATTTTACTATATTAATAATAGTGCAGTGCAAGTGCATGGTGGACACTCTTCTGTAATAATTCAATTTTTTCTAATAGAATTGATTTGAGTAGGCATTCGTGTTTTCCCGCAAAAAATTTTTAATCATCCATGCAGAGTTATCGTTCCTTGAGATTGCAAACGTTCTGAGATCTTCTTCCGCATGCGTGTGCATAGATATTAATGATTTTTTACTTTTATGTATATACATACAACAAAACATTATAATATTATTAATTCATCTTCTTAAAAAGTAATTGATGAGTATTCATTGAAGAAATAAAATTTTATAACAAGCGATAAGGAATGTTAGTTTGCACTTGATGATGTCTACGTATTCATCATGTTTATAGATCGGTTAAAAACCCAAAACGAATGTTACGTAATGGAAATCTAGGCGATAGCAATACACCGGAATGCCCTCACGGTCATCCGCTGTAAAAATGGGTGTTAGTGTTCTTGGTTAAGATCATTTAAAAAAAGCGCCTCGGACGCTTTAATTTGACATGAGTTATTTTTTTCTTCTTTTTTTAACGTTTATACGGTAATAATCAAATCTATAAAGTGATGCTTGTATTGAATGTCAAACAGCTTTTAGTCAATCAATCATAATGTTCATTTAAAATATCTTAGTAAGATATGTTTTCTAGGCATAAAAAAACCATCTTTTTGTTGTTATAGATATGTAGTTTAATAGAAACTATACTATTTAAAACCCTAAACGATGTAAAATAATACATCGGTATAATTTAAAACACAGTTCCAGTTGATTGTATATCTATTCTGAAAAAAAGGCAATAACTTTAAAAGAAGGCAATAAAAAACTTTTCAATTCATATTACAAATACGGTTAAGTGTTATATTAATAAAGCAGTTGGCATTGGCAAATGTTCAATAATTGCAAACAATACTTTTCATGTCAGGGTAATTTAAACTAAAAAAAAATGGATGAATGTAGATTTCAAGTGTTGATACAAATTAAATTGACATTTAAAATTAAGTGGTCATATAATTTTGTATTTTCCTTGTCACTTAATAGTTCCTGCTTATCGATATAACGTTAAAAATGTACACCTGTTTGCCTCATACATCATATGCACAAACTGAGAAGAGGGAAAAACTGCAATGGAACAGTTACCAAACAAACAAATGAAATCAAAATGAAAATATACGATTCATGATTCGGTCTTCAGCAATACAATGACAAGCACCCACTATTTACGATCAGCTCTTCATTTTGCAGAATATAAACAAGTTGTGAATGATCGAACAAGACGACCAAATCTTTAACAACAACACCTGAGTCTCAACAGACCAAATCAGAAAAGAAAAAAAAGAAAAAAGAATAACAGGGGAAAAAAAACATTAATAGACCGCAATAACAACTGATTACATTCAAGATTTCGGTTCGTCAATAAACATGGTGTAAAGTATGTACATGTAAGCGGATACTCAATCCTGTTTGAATTCTCATATCAGTCATAGAACACATAATACAGTTAAATGGAAAAAGGTAGATGTGGTATGATTGCCAATAAAACAAAAATGAAGCGGAAGATATCAAGGGGACATTCAAAACTCGCAAGTTGAATCTAAAGCAACAACGTCATGACGAAAAAACGACGTTAAGGCGAACAAGTCCACAAAACGCTACATATAAAATTAAGATTGTGCATCATGAACCCCACCAAAAACCGGAGACAACTATCCATTACGATAAAGAAACAAAGATGAGGAGATTTAATATCACGTTACGTCTTTAACAATGAGCAAACCCATGCCATTTAGTGAGCTATTAAGACACCGGAATGACAAACCGTTAAACAATTCAATGTAAAAAAAAAAAACTAGCCTGATTTATAAGTTTCCAATTTAAGAAAAAAAGAAAAGTTGACCTTACTTGCATTTGGTTCTTCTTTAATATGTTCACTTTTGATCATATAGCTTTTTCACGTGTAGTTTTACATCCTTTCCTTTCAATTATTTAAGGTATGAGTGTTCCTGATTAAAGTAAGTCCAGAAAAGCGCATCGGACGCAACAGACTTATAAAATGTTATTTTCATTTTTATTTTGGAAAAATAACCGAAACATTAGTTAATTATTTCAGACAGCAACACACACCAACCACTGTGTTACGTGCTCTTGTATTGGAATATGTACCTAAAGAATATGAAGGGGTTAAAAACAATTTGATGAAAATTCAGATCCTGTGTCCACGCTTTGCTTACAAGGATATGACAACACTCCGTTCTACTTTGGTGTTTAAAGACCTTTCGTGATCGTCTGGTTATTTTCTTAAAGATATACACCTTCAAAAATGTTTAGACAGGAATTTCAGTGGCTGTTGTAATAATTCCCAAAACAGAAATTAGAACAGATCATTGTTCGCAAAGCGTGGACACAGGCTCTGTATTTTAGTCATATTGGGATGAACGTGTTTGCGCAACTCTCCCCAAATCTTTTACAGTGGTATGTAACTCAACATAAGAACAAATCGTAAAAAATCGGTTTTAAAGGACCGGTTTGATTCATCAGATAGGTGCAAAATTATCAACAAAAACAAAAAGAACACAAAGTACCTTTTGCATCTAACAAACAAATATTGTGAATTTTCAAAACAGAAACTATCAAAGGTCTGCCATTAACACCAGATGAATAAAAATACACAAGATTATGTATGTCACAACAATGACGAGGTTCCTAACTTGGGACAGTCACATGCAAATTTAACCCGGTTTGTATATTTTTGTGATGTGTGATAAATATTCGTTTCTTAACAGTTATCCGACGGCTTATATTTTCAAAGTTTTCAGTATAACATTACTGTATAATATATTTTTTTACTTTTTAGGTTTTTTAACAATACATTTTTCCTATTTTATAGACAAACCAACAATACTTTTCAATGGAACAACCTTTGAAGCGAAGACGGAAATCTCAAAGCCTGTCAATGTATCTTTTCGAGTGGAATCTTTTGAAATCCCTTTGGTCTTCTGGCACCAGACGGCCGGTGGAAAGCTGAACACTTGGAAAATATATGAGTGTAAAGACAACAAAACTTTTTGCCTGTTATCCAACATTGCACCACTTACACACAAGAATTTCGGAAATTATTCTGTTCGCATTCGTAACATAGAAGGCAGTACAGATTTAAACATAAGACTACTATATAAAGGTATTTCTTTTGTTGAAAAAAATACCAGTTACCAATGTTATTGGGTAACTAATGAAGGGATTGGTTGGCTATTCGTTTACAAATTTTACAGAACTATCTACTAGTACTTTGGACTGACAAGTACAAAGTAAATTTGCAGCTGTATTATCATTTGAATTATTATGAATTATTACTTCATAAAAACAAGAAGATGTGGTATGATTGCCAATGAGACATTTCTCTACAAGAGAACAAATGACACAGAAATTAACAACGATAGGTCACCGTACGGCCTTCATTAATGAGTAAAACCCATACCACATAGTCAGCTATAAAAGGCCAAGAAATGATAAATGTTAAACAATTCAAACGAGAAGACTAACGGCCTGATTTATGTACAAAATAATGAACGAAAAACAAATATGATATACAGCAACAAACGACAACCACTGAATTACAGGTCTAGGTTATTTTGTGTTTAACTTATAAATCACGGGACACGTGAACAAGGTTATATTATATACTTGATTTTGTTTTAGCGTTCATCGAACCGATGTGCAACTTTCCATCATGAAATTGCAGTAAATATCAAATCTTTTTAAAAACAGGAAATATATACATTTTACAAAGTTCTACTGATTTGACAGGTGCTGCATGCAAAGCAAGAAATCATTGTAATGTTGACACACCAGTAGCTGGTGTCAAGTAGCTTGGAATTTAAGGGAATTCCTGTTGTTTTCGTTTACTTATTTTTATTTACTCCATGGACTTCGAGACGTGTCGTTATGCCGGATCCCATTAAAGCTTATAATACGGTTTTGGTTTTACTCATTGTTGAAGCAGTACGATGACTTTTAGTTACTTACATACGAGTCTGTTTATATATCAAACACCGTATATTTTTGGCTGGTTTATTCAATCTTTTTTCGTCATTTAGATCGGTATTGAAAGTAGATATTTGAAAGTCTATTTACATTTATTCGCAACATTTGTAGCGATTCAGCGCACCACACAGAAACAATTGTCTGTTGTTGAAGACCTTATGTTGACCTCTAAATTGACTTTTGACTCGAGCGTCACTGACGAGTCTTTTGTAGACTAAATGCGCGTCTGGCGTACAAAATTGTAATCCGGATATCTATAGAGTCGATCCGGGTAATTTCGTACAGGCGGGTAATTACCGTACATATTACATTTCGCTTGTCTTTTTCTGATAAAATTGAGAAATAAAGTGTGTTTTAATATTATCTACTGATAATAAGATATGTACAACCTTGTACAAGTTGTATTAATATGGTTTTGTATCATAGAATATGTACACATTTGCCATTTGTCGGAAAGTTTTGTTCGCGGGCTCTTTGAAAAGATGATCTCGTCCAAAAAGTCACCAGATTTGTGTAAATTCAAAGTTTGGTTAATTTAATGTAAGATCTTTCTATTTTAATCGAAATTTAGAAAACTGATGGAAACTGAAAGCCAGAAATAGTTTGCAATTGACAGCTACTTTTCCATGTAGTATAAGTGCAATCATTTCCAATAAAACGGACTGAGAGTGGGTGTACGGGATTACCCTACATGATATTTTACATGCAGATGTAATGAGTCTAATATCGTACACGCCAGCTTTTAAATATGTTAATGTTCATTAAGTGATAAAGAGACTTTCAATGTTGACTTAGCTTTGCTTATATTAATGATTTTTGTTACATAATCAAATTAATTGCAAAATAAAACAAACAGAAAAAAAAATACATAAAACAACATCAATTCGATATGGGAAGAAAGAGGTCAACATATGTTATTTTTGATTCTATGAACCACCAGTCCGCTGCCTATTGATTAATAGAGATAGACGTTGATGTGTTTTCAAACTATTCGGAGTGAGTATTCCTCCTTAATTGCGAGGGTCCTCTGTGCCCCAGTGGTCTAAGTAATTCATTTCATATATCGCTACTAAGCCAGTCAACACTAAGGTTGTGACTTCAAACCTCGCACATGCATGGCAGGTGTGTTCGAATATTAGTTGACTAGGATTGTCAGTTTTCCTCCCGAACAATAAAACATAAAAAAAAACTATACCACAAAAAGTTGGCAAACAGCTACTAGTATATGAAAGATGTTAAATACATACGTTATTAAGAAAATGATCCATGAAATGCTGCTGGGACAATTGAAGATGATGCTTTAATTCAGGACTTAAAATTAGTAAAATCTGCTGCAGCCTCTCAGCTTACAATGCGGGACTTGATTGTAAAGACCGGTTGGCTCAGAGTTAAAATTCTTTTCTGAATAAGATGACATATCTTTCTTCGAATTCGGACTGAACTAGAACGTTAAAAACCAGATGAGTGTATTATAGACAGGGTCTATATTCATATCACTTGTCAAACTAAAGTGATGCATATCACATAAACCGTCATTTCTATGTTGTGATGTTATACTAATGTTTCAGAAAAGGGAGAAGGTTTGGTACCATTAAAACGTTTAATCCCGCTGCAAATGTTTGCACCTGTCCTAAGTCAGGAATCTGATTACAGTAGTTGTCGTCTGTTTATGTGGTTCATACGTGTTTCTCGTTTCTCGTTTTTATATAGATTAGACCGTTGGTTTTTCCGTTTGAATGGTTTTACACTAGTAATTTTTTGGGGCTCTTTATAGCTTGCTGTTCGGTGTGAGCCAATGCTCCGTGTTGAAGGCCGTACCTTGACCTATAATGGTTTACTTTTATAAATTGTAACTTGGATGGAGAGTTGTCTCATTGGCACTCATACCACATCTTCCTATATCTATGTTCTCGCCCTGATGTCCATGTATTATTCGCAACTAAACGTTTCTGTGTGTGTGTAACGTTACTGTCTGAAACACAATTCGCATAATCATATCTAAATTTACACTTATAATTTATTGAAGCTTTAATACAAACAAAAATCTTAGGACACTTGCTTTTTGGTCCTTCTTTTGCAATTTTTGCATATATACTCAATTTTGCCAATATATAATCAAAAGTGCAGTTAATTGGTCGAGTTATCTTTGACTGTTTATAATGTTGTATACTGTTATCAAAAAATACTGCGAGGATCTACATCACGACATGGAGCTGTGATACTGTGAATTTAAGTAAAGATTGAAAGACTTGAAGATGATCCTGGTATCAAATTAACTAGTCCAAGTCATTTCTAATTAGCAATCCTATTTTGAAATTAATCAATGTACGGAATTACACATCAAGGTGTACGGAAATACACGACATCCATACGATATTAGCAACAGTGACTTTTCTGTTCGGTATGCTCATTCTCGGTATTTTATGTTTAATGACATGGAAAAAGTCAAACATTAATACTATATACGAATGATCTAGTTACCGGTTTCCTTCTAGAACATTTTAGTATCAAACAGGGAACCAAATGACATTCATTTAGGACCAAAAGTGTACGGAATTACCCGGACCGACTCTAATGAGTTTATTTATTTATTCTATATTTTTTTTATCTTTATGTTTTTGGCTTATTCCCTTTCCTGTCTAAAAAGTAAGACACATCCCAATGATTGTCAAGTTAACCAAATATGTCTGTTTGGATTGCTCACACAAGTTATAATATAACGGAACTATAAACAACTGTCATACAAGTGGGATGTTTAGCAAGTTATAATACCAGATTTAACCCACCATTTTCTTCGGAAATTGCCTCTAACAAGTCAGGAATATGACAGTTGTTTTCCAGTCGTTTCCTTGGTTGATACAGTCGAGGGTTTGGTTTTGTCAGGTTTTATGGACTTCCCTCTTTTTGAATTTACACTGGAGTTCGTTATTTTTCCTATTACATTTGTTTATAATTATATTATACTCTAAAACAAAGAGCAAAAATATTTCTAAGGCGACATGTGTTACCCTAAATTTCCTACCCAATTCGTTTGAATGTTTGTCAAAATTAACCGTTTCAATATGTCAAATTTTCCATATCGTAATAATTCAAGTTTCGATAACTTAATCCTTAATAAGAACTTCCTGCTTAATTAATTGGTACTTCTTAAGCCTATACACGTTTGTAATCCCGATAAAAAAAGAAGACCCTAAAAGGGTGCAATAAAAAACCAAAAATCGAGAAATAATGAATATACCATGGCAAAATAAAAAACACACAGAAAAGGCAAACAACAATCTAGAAACGCTAAGCTGAATACTACAAATTTAGCTGTATAACAACTGTTAAATTACGTTGGTGAGTCATCTGCTGATTCGACGTCACATATTAACGGATCAGTAAATGTTTTTCAATTCAACCCTTAGGCATTATCAAATTCATTAAGCATCGGTCATGTAAATTCGTAATCTTTAAAATTTGACCAAATTCGAAATTTTGAGAAGTTAACATTGTTATAGTCAGGACAAGAGACAGACAAGACTAACCAACAGAAATAACATAGACAATTTGAAAAAACAAAATAACACAAAATACTACACTTGTATTTACTAACATTTCAATTTGTTCATCAATTAATTGTCTAATGTTCGAATATTTTTTTGCTTATTTGAATATTCATTTATTCATATATCTATTCATTAATTTAAACATTCAAAATAATTAGCGGCAATGTAATTAAAATTTCAGACTTTCATGTGCAAATCAAAGAAGAGAGAATGGTATTGAAAACGTCAGAAACTATTGTAATTAATTGTTCTATAAATCCAAAAGAATATGGTGAGTGGGTTGTAGTATGGAAACATGTTTGGAATGGTATTTTCATCCGGTCTTTTCCGTCTTTAGTACAAAACAAAACATCAACATTGGAACTGCCTCACTGTGACTACAAGGATACTGGTGAATACGTGTGTACTCTAAATACAGAGGATGCTGAATTTTTAGATAAAGTTTTTGTGAGTGTATTAGGTAAGTGAATAAAAATATCGAACAAATAATACTAAATACTGAGGCAATGTATTTGTTTATTACTTTTGTTTTGTTTTATATCAAGAATCGCCACAATTGTTTGGTAATTGATTTCGAATTCATTGCAATTTTATTAATGCCATTTGAAAATAGCCTATTTTCAAAATTTAGAATTAAAAAACAAAAAATATAAGTAAAAAAGAAAATTACATTTTGAGCGTTCCTAATAAGGTAAATCCATGCACAAAAGTACTTCGAAATCACACAATTTATAATAAGTTATTTTCGTTTTCTAAAACTGGGGCGATACCACTGCTTGTGGACTGAGAGTATCACCAGCTCAGTGAAGAGTGATTCTGTACAGACATGATTTATAACATACTTTCTTAAATTCTCCGTTGATAGATTTAGAAATTATCAAGGTTCCAACTCCCTCAGTCAAATTTGACTTTAGATAATGAAGTTAACTTTTCGGTCCGTTTCTGTCATATAGCTCTTCACGTATTTATATACTTTAACGTCATTGGCTTTCATTTGCGTGTATGAGTGTTCATGATGAAGGTATATAAAAATAAAAAGACTCGGACGCTAACAATCTATAAACTGTTGTTTTCATATTCTAATTTATGATAAAATACTTGATTGATAAAAATGCTGATTAAGGCTCATTCTTAAGGTTTGAGTGAGAAATTGATTTTTAAGATCAAATTAGAAAGAAAAAAATCAATTTTGCAATGATGAGGAAGACAACTGAATAGAACCTAATATTAAGATGAAAAGGATTAGATGTGAAAAAAACATATGTTTTTCGTAAGACTTCGAAAGCTCGAACTCTGCCCTTGGGTGTACATTCTCTCCCTCTCCTCTAACTTTATAAATGTTACAGGCATTTTCTTAATTTCGGCATTTTGTAAAATCAAATTAAGACAATGACTAAAAATAACTAGTCATTTAGTAAAATGACTGAAATCTTTAAACAAAGCTTCAGGTAATTTGTAGAAAAAGAGTATCATTGAGATATGACCAAAACACAATATCTTGCAAAGAAAATACATAGTGGTACAGTAAATTTAAGCTTATTCTTCAAATACCATCTGGGAAAGTTGGATGTATGTCATAGGTTGTTTCAGTGAAACTACTTTGAGTTTGTACTTACTTTGTATTTCAAATAGTAATTTTCTGATTTTCTCGTCTTGGCAAAAGGACTAATTATTCTTACAATAAAACAAAATATACAAATATTTTTTTTTAGAAAATCTAGATTCAAAACAAAAGTGTGAAATATGAAGCAAATAAAAAGAAGGATGTTGTTTGATTGACTGATTGTTGTTTGTTTGTGGTCATTGGCAAACATTTTATGCTTATTTAGGATGAGAACAAATTGATGATAGATCAAATAAATAAGTTCTACAATGCATTAATCGGATAAAGGACAAGAATTTTGCCTGCTGATTGTTTGTTTTGTTCACACATTTTTGTCAATATAATGGAATTTTATACAACTGGAATACAAGTGAGAGGTAAAGCAAGCTATAGAACCAGGTTTAATCCACCATTTTCTACATAAGAAAATGCCTGTACCAAGTCAGGAATATGACAGTTGTCTTCCATTCGTTTGATGTACTTGAGATTTTGATTTTGCCATTTGATAAAGGACTTTCGAGTTCGGTATTTTTGTTATTTTACTTTTTGAAAAGAAAGTAATTATGTTGGATAGGGACAGATGTTACAGCAAAACAAATCCCTTCTAAAGCATTGGTTTCACAATACAAGGTCGTGTTTAGTTGTAAAGTAAAAATATGAGTATCTTCATCGTCACTGTCTCAAGGACACTCTTTGGTCTTTAATAATCTGACAAATAAGATTAGACAGTAGTGTACTGATGCTCGAATATCACAATGAACCAAGAAGAGACAAATCAAGGTGCGTCCAAAGGGTAAGTGTCTTCTGCTATACATGCATCACCCACTATGTGACGAATCTGATTCAGTCTGGTGAATTCTCTGATAACCCAAAAGATGTAAGTCAACCTAGTTACGCTAATAATACTTCGAATCTTTTGAAAACACATGAAAAGAAGATATTTATGTGTGTGCTGTTTACGTAACCCCATATTTTTTCACACTTTTAAATGTTGACAGAGCTGAATGAGTCATGGTTCAGGTTTCACCAAATGTGGTTGTAGTGATAGGACCAGATTTAACGCCAAACGATATATTTGCCGAAAAATCAGGACAAATGTGCAACATTACCTGCCATCCAAATATTTTATGTAATAACAAATAATTGTCGAGTTCAGTACTTATCGGGAAACTTAGATAATTCAGTTGAATTTATATTTGATAACTAAATGTCTTTAAATGCAAGCGTTAACATTCAGTTATTATCATAGATAAAACTGTTGTGTTGTTCTATACTTTTAACGGCTCAGTTTTTTGTGTACATTTCATTCTACAAAATAATTTAGGCATTTTGTAAAATGCCTTTAAATTTTTCTAGGGATGATGTTAAATGCCTGAAAAAATTAGTCAATATATAAATTGCCTTAATCTTACAGGCATTTTAGAAAATGCCTAAAGTGTTTAGGCATTTTACAAAATGCCTAAATTAAGAAAATGCCTGTAACATAAACATATATTTATATTTTAGGTCCACCAATTGCATCTAACAAAAGTATTTCATCGATCCATAATCGTCTTATCTTTTCCGTACACCTTTACATCAATCCGCCAATATCTAAAATAACATGGATGCATGAATCAGACGACAAAACAACTATAATGAACTTGAAAGCTCTAAATTCAGTTCAAATGGTATCAAACACGAGCGTCACAATTGAAAGTTACGGAAAGTCTGTCAGTGTCCGAGGCATCAAGGTTAACCTTGTTTTGGATCATTTGAATCTTGAAGGTGGATATTTGGTTTGTCAAGTGCAGAATTCCTTTGCACCAGCAGAAGAGTCGTTCGGACTAATAAATTTAACACATTTATTCTCAAAAGATACACTGGATTGGCCTCCAAACTTGATTGAAACAACTTATATACCTAATAGCAGTAGACAAGAAATTGAAGGTACTACTTTGTAAACATTTGAATAGCGGGTATAATTACGATAATGCAAAATTGTTGTTCATTAACATTAAAGTACAAAATAGTATGAAACAGTAAAATTGTAGGATGATTTAAGATTTGCAATGATTGGTTCATATATTTTACTGGAAATGTTATATATATATATATATATATATATATATATATATATGTAAACACAATTTTCACTATAAATATAGACGTGCTCGTACTTTTATATTTTGTTGTATTTTTCCAAAATGTTTGATACGTGCTGACAGCACAATAATTATCTCATGATAGACTGATAAGCATTTTCTGCAAGGAAATTAGGATTTGCACTATAAACAATAAACGTTTTGAAATTTAAGTGAACTTCAATGGTATAGCGAATACTTATTTGAAGCAAACGAATGGAAAACAACTGTCATAAACAAAGGTTGATTGAAACTGCGAAAACAATTGTTTGTCTCAAACAAAACATAAAAAAAATCCCAGACTGCCAAGTTTAGTCAGTATTATCAGTCTTATTTCATAAATAAGGAATCCATTTATGGGACTTCGGAATTCACATTTTCAAGAAAAAGCAAATTATAATTGGAACATCTTTTTAAACGACAGTATCCATAAAAAAAGAGGCGGAAAATATCAAAGTGAGAATCAAAACTCAAAAGTCAAAGAAAAAAGTAAAATCACAAAAATACTGAACTCCGAGGAAAATTCAAAACGGAAAGTCCCTAATCAAATGGCAAAATCAAATGATAAAACACATCAAACGAATGGACAACAACTGTCATGTTCCTGACTTGGAACAGGCATTTTCAAATGTAGAAAATGGTGGATTGAACCTGGTTTTATAGCGCTAAACCTCTCACTTGTACGACAGTCGCATCAAATTCCATTATATTGACAACGATGCGTGAACAAAATGTCACAAATAGGGGTACAACAACATTACGAACCCGACCAAAAACTGGGGGTGATTTCAGGTGCTTATGTCGAAACCTGCAACTTATATTAAAAATATTGTAGACGATTCCTATGATAGTAACAGATATCAATCGTTTTATCAAAAATAATGGATAAAACTTACGAAAAAGTATTCAAAATTACTTTATACAAACTCGTCCAGCTACATGTCGATTTGTAATACACATGTAACAGATCACTGTAATACTTCAAATTTATTTCTTGATCTAGAACTTGATGATCTGTTCTTCTTCATGTCACAAGTAGCCTTCTGCTGTTTTATTGTGGACGAGCAAAGAATAATTGTAAAGTGAGCAAGTCTTAAAACTAATAGAAAAATCATATTTTTTTTTTGTAGGTGTTACAAAAAGACAGATGTTTTACATTCCAGGAGGTGTTTTTGTGTTTGCTGCTATACTCATTTGTGTGTTGATTTATTTTCTTCGACGAAGAAAACTCAGTCGCAGTAAGTTGTTTAGCTACTCATTCCACTTTAAAACTAAATTTCGCTTCGTTAAATTGATATGGATTCAGGTGTTTGTGGTGTTTTAACTTAAAATGAAACATTACTTTCAACACTCATTTGTATATCTGATTTTCTTATCTGCACGTCAATAACAACAAACAAAATAAATGCATTTTTGCCAAGCCACCAAATGACTGAGCTTGTATTAATCTGTATTTTATATATATATAAGTTTAAGAGTCGTCGTAAATCTATAAACAACCGAAAATAGATCATCAGATATTCACAAAGAACGGACAAACACCACTACTTAAAACTGTAGGTAAACTGATGACATTTGGAAGGGTAAACAGTTCCTGGTGTACTAGTGGCGACCTTCATAATGTTCATTTCGTGTTAAAAAAGTAAAATAACAAAAAACTTCAAGGAAAATTCAAAACGAAAAGTCCTTTATCAAGTGGCAAAATCAAAAGCTCAAAACTGGTTTTATAGCTAGCTAAATTTCTCACTTGTCTGACAGTCGCATAGAATTCCATTATATTGACAACATAGTGTGAGCAAAACAAACAGATATAGTAGGTAAAAATGTCAACATTGTGTTATAATCTTAATCACTAAAAAAACAAATAACTATTTCAACAAGGAAAATTAAAATGGCATAAAGACACTCTATAGACAAAGTACATAATCAAAAATGAAAGACAAGAATACAAAAATAACCATAGCACAATAAAACAACGGCGGGATGTATAAATACCGAGCCACGTAAAAAAACATTCTGTGATTAGTCGCATTCAGCGATGGCATAAAAAGGAAACGAGATATGGGATACTACAATTGAACATATCCGGGCATAGATATTGCATAACGACCACCAAATGTCGATGGCGTCGAAGAGAAGCAGCATTATCAAGAAAATAATGATGGGAAACGCAAACACTGAGATGTCGTCTCAACTAGGACATGTGTATTTCTTATATCGGTGCTACTTGAATGTAAACACAAGGCAATAGAGAGATCAAAATTGGAAAACCGCAATCATTTATATTGCTATATAAGCTGGAGGTTTGGCTAGCCATAAAACCAGGTTCAACCCACCAATGTTTCCTAAAATGTGCTGTACCAAGTCAGGAATATGGCAATTGTTATCACATAGTCCGTTTTTATGTATGTTGGCGTTTATTTTTGTAGCAGTTCAGTGTTTCTGTTGTTCCGTTTTGTTTCCTCTTATAGTTGATGTGTTTCCCTCAGTTTTTGTTTGTGACCCGGATTTGTTTCAGTTAAATCGATTTATGACTATTGAACAGCGGTATACTACTATTGCCTTTATTTGTCGTAAAATTTGTTTTTAACAGACCCTCATTACCAATTTCTAAATTAAGTCAAGATATGAAACATGCAAAAAAGCCTCATGATGGCAGTTTCAGAAAAGCTCTTGTTTGATCAGAGCTACCTTTAATAAAGTTTTCTTAAATCTCAGGCACTTCTAAAAAAGTAAAATAACAAAAATACCGAACTACAAAGGAAATTCAAAACAAAAAATCCTTTATGAAATGGCAAAATAAAAAGCTCAACCACATCAAACGAATGTTCTACAACTGTCATATTCCTGACTTGGTACAGTCATTTCTCTATGTGGAAAATGGGGGATTAAGCCTGGTTTTATAGCTATCTAAAGCTCTCACCTGTATGACAGTCGCATAGAATTCCATTATATTGACATCAATTTGTGAGCAAAACAAACAGACATAATAGGTAAAAATGTAAATAAACTCATCATAGATACCAGGATTGAAATTTAGTATTTGCGCCAGACGCGCGTTTTGTCGACAAAAGACTCATCAGTGACGCTCGAATCAAAAAAATGTTAAAAGGCCAAATAAATTACGAAGTTGAAGAGCATTGAGAACCAAAACTTCCTAAAAGTTTTGCCAAATACATCTAAGGTTATCTATTCCTGAGGTAGAAAAGCCTTAGTATTTCAATAATTCAAAGTTTTGTGAACAGTTAATTTATAATTATGACCATATCAATTATAATTCTTGTCAACACAGAAGTGCTGACTACTGGACTGGTGATACCCTCGGGGAATTAAAACTCCACCAGCAGTGGCATCGACCCAGTGGTTGTAAATAAACTCATCATAGATACCAGGATTGAAATTTAGTGTAAAAAATTGGGGTACAGCAGTTAACATTGTAATATAGTCTTGGTCACTATAAAAACAAATTACTATTTCAAAAAGGAAAAAAAATGGCATATAGACACTCTGTAGACAAAGTACATAAGCAAAAATGAAAGACAAGAATACAAAACTGACCATAGCAAAATAACACAATGGCGGGAAGTACAAGTACCGAGCCACGCCAAAAGGATATTACAAAAAAAAGGACTAAACACTAAAGGTTAGAAATGTACAAGGACAAATAAAAAGACCACTATAACACGTAATTATAGATGATAAACAATGTCAGTACATAGAATCTATACTTTAAGACCATCATGTATTATTTGTGAAGTTGATACGGAATATTTATCAACAAGGTCTCGGTATCTTTTTTAGAAAAAGGACGAGACGTTTTTTGACACAACCATGGCTCATCAAATGTCTGCTCAAAGGAGCCGGACCCGTTGCGTCTCCTGCTATGCATACATCACTAACCCGCCGTGCTAATCCATACTTGGTCAAAATGTCACAATTGGGGTTGGACACAATAAGACGACTGTTCTGGTATCTAAACTCTAAGACCACGAAAACCTGTCGCTAGTGAGTTGAGACAGACACATCGTATCGGTCAAGCAATTCGTGATGCTGACATTAAAGCTTGTGTAGTATTGATGTCAATCGTTCTTCCTGGATCTCATAACTCTTAATATTCATTTTGAGTCAGAAGCACACCTGTGTGTTAGTTAAAATCATATAGTATTAGTATGCACGATTCATTAAGATAAGTAAACGCCATACGATGATGCAGAGGGAAATTTTTATTACATAAACAATTATTTTTTTAGGAAATGATTTTAAAATCGACCCTATAACCAATACAATTGAAATGTAAGTAATCTTACGGTTGAATTATATATGAATATTTTTAGAAATCTTTGTTATAAAACTCGAGCGTCACTGATGAGTCTTTTGTAGACGAAACGCGCGTCTGGCGTACCAAATTTTAATCCTGGTATCTATGATGAGTTTATTTGGCAATAACGATACTACCACATACGCACTGCAGAAACGATGATACAAGCAAAAGTTGTCTTATTGTTTTTACGCAGATCAGGATGTTCTATCACGGAAACCTTTGCTAAAATGCATATAAAATCACAATTTGAATTTGAATAGTGTTGCCCATTTGGTTTATGTTTTACAAAAATTTATCTATAGTCCAAAACTTGAACATCAGAAATTTCGTGCAAGCGATAGGCATAAATATTTCATTTTTGTTCTCTCTCTCTCTCTCTCTCTCTCTCGTGGTAGTTTGAGGTATTACTTGTTTCATTGTGAATCCAAAAGTTTAGGTATTGTCGTATACAATAAAGACCAAAAGTTAGGAAGCTTAGCTTTAAACTGTAAAATCGGTACGAAAAAAGGTGAACAGTAACGTGTTATCTTAAAATATACAGACATATTTAAGTCCATAAACAGATATGGATCCGTATTTTGTACATATGTTAAGAAAAATCCGTCATCAAGTACAATCGTAACAAAATGTTTGGTAGGCCAACAATATATAACGTTTGGGACATAAAAACCAAAATATCCTATAGAGCGAAATCGTGTATGGTTTTCTATACTATACATGAGCGAGATGCAGTCATAGTTTCAGCACAATAACATACATACTAATTTTATAGGTAGACATTTACGAACAATTGAAATCCTATCAGTACATAACCATTTGCTATTGGAAGAATTCATCTATGACCTAATTAATTAAGTTCCAACAGTTCAGACATTTTTCAGTTCTGTTAAAGATATTTATTATCTATATTTCATTTTGAATTTGTATTTTGTTAGGGAATAATATTTTTAACTCGGTTTTCTTCAAAGAATGTTACTTTTACCAGCTTACATTTGTTCATGCAAAAATGTTAAAAATGCAACAGAGACACTATTTTCGCGATAGACAAACGACGTCGCATAAACCTATATTAATAAGAATAAAGGGAAATGTTGTAGTTTGCAAGTTTACATAATGGTTCATTTGTATTTACCCATCAAAGTTATTAGATATTACTGATAAATATGTAAGATTACCAGTGAAGATTACACATTCAATAGTTAATATCAAATATATATGCTTTTGTCATAGGACCAGTCCAGGCGAGTCTGTTACTAATGATGACTTCGAAAATATTAGTGACCGTTCGTATGAAGATGTTGGAAGTATCAATTCGTCGTCTGCCCAGGTGATTGATCAAATAAGCGAAGGACAGTATTATGAATCATATAAGGCAGAAACACCAACGGATTTAAAGGTTTATGAAATTTTGAATTCTAAAAAGGATAAAATTAATGATAACTGTGATAAAGAATCTTCCTCTCCATGTTCGGAAGACAGTGATTCGTATATTATTCCAATCAGGGATTATCTAGAATTGGTAGACGATGATCTGAAAGGAAATACCGTTAAGGACATAAGTACTGTTAAATATTTTGATGATTTCGACGGCAGCATAATATCTAAATCTAAAGGTGACTCATCTCGGGAAATAAAAAGGAGAACTTTTTAAAGACACAAAAATGCATTGTGGTATTTAAAAAGGAAAATCATCCGCCTCTGTTAATCGTATTAAAAAAAAAAGGAAAATCGTCCGCCTTTGTTAATCGTATTAAATATTGAAATACAATGAGACGAATCGGAAATTATGTAAATAGCAGTCATGTGAAAAATCCTATTTTATAATTATTTTTTTTATATAAAAGAATTATATATTTCTGTATTTGATTGTTTCAGTACTTTTGCTCTAAGATTTCATTTTCTATTACACTACAGTTTTGCATAATTAAAAGAGGAAATAGTAAATGAATCAGTGTCCTATATTGACATTTAAAGTGGGTTTGAGTTGTTGCCATTGTGGTATAAACAGTTTTATCCTCTCATTGTCTAATGTTTAAGGAAACATTCAAGGTTTATAAGAGATAAGAAGCCGATTAATATTGAAGGAATTTCATATTCTACTAGATTTCATTTGTATCTAGTTTTTCAATATCTGTCTAATACAAGAAACTGGTATATTGCCTATAAAATCTAGTTTGTTTCATGGAAAAGATGTTGATTGAAAGATTTGAAAAAGGATTATTTTTTAAAGCACATAACACAAAATTCCATGACATACTAGGTAATAATCATAACAAAATAAAATACCTTAAAAAACCTTTATTTCTGTTGCTCATTTTTACAGTGGATGTGTAGTGAATTTTGAACATTTATTGCAGTGTTGTTAAGCGCATTGGACAACTACATGTTGATGCCAGTCATTTGATCAACAAGTTATCTAATAACACCCTCTTAAGAAACTAATGTCCCAGCTCCCTCAAGCAAAGTTGACCTTAGATGATTTAGGCTAGTTTGTGTCCCTTTTTGGTCATAAAGCTCTTGATGGGTTTTTGTCTTATACATCTCTGGCTTTCAAATGTTTGGGTTTGATCGTTCCTGGTGAAGGTTATCCAGAAAAGGGCTTCAGACACACGAAATTAATAAAGTGTGTTTTCCGCTCACTAACAGAGTCTCAAAATAATAATAGGTGACGTGTTGTTTGTCTTAATTTCAAACATTTTGCACCGAGTTCAAGAGGCCACGTAAACGGGAAGTTTGTGTGGAATTCATAGAAACGGAAGAATATGTTATCTCGGTTCACTTCCAATTGGAGCTGACGAACATTTCTCTGTTTATCAACAAAATTCAATTTAGTTAGGATATTGTGAAAAAAAATTTCAAATGATATTGTTACACTACGTTGTATGTATATTGCCTCTTGTTACACATGTTCATGTATTGAAGGGTTTCTCAAAAAAGTATTATGGAATGATATAGTTAAAAACAAGACTGAAAAGATTCTTTTGTTTTCATGTATTGAAACTTTTGGTATGAAAAAAAATAGTGTCTTCCTGTGCTTTTCACGTTCATGTTGGGTGAAATGTACTCGGACAAAATATTTGGTAAATAAGGAGATATGTTGTTTATCAATGTTCAAAACTCGTAAGTCCCTTTTGAATGTACAAAACAAGAGAAACTGAAAAAATACAAAGAACTAAAACCAGGGTGCAAAACCGATTACTAGTACTTCTACTGAATAAGCGACTCCTGCTATAAAAATGATAAGGAGATGTGGTATGATTGTCAATGAGACAACTATCCACCTAAGACCAACTGACGTGATGTCAGCAACTATAGATCACTTTCTGCCTTCAACAATGAGCATATCCATACCTTATAGAAAGGTTTAAAATGTCCCGGCATAAAAAATGTTAAACAATAAAATGCGAGAAAACTAACTGCCTGATGTATGCTATAATAATAAAAGAACAACAAATATGACAGACAGCAACCAATGACAGCCACTGAATTACAGACTCCTGACGTGGGGGCAGGCTCATAATTAATGTGGCGGTGTTAAACTTGTGAGCGGTCAGTCCTTCTCCTCACCTGGGACAGTGGTGTAACATAAAAACATAAGAGCAAACGTGAAAATTAAGCCGAATTGGGTTTACTCGTTATATTGGCGAGTATATCTGAGAGTACTTGCAATTACTGAGCGGTTGTTTGAAGACAATTACAACTAATAAATATCAGACTAAAATATCAACCAGTACATATTCAATGGATTTAGTATAAAAACTTCATAAATAGTCTGTGAAAAGCATGACATTGTGCAATGTTAAAATAAAAATATCAACAGGATGTTGTACCAAAAGTGTTCGTAACTGTATAGCAATACATATTTAGTATAATGTTTTACTTATTGAGAAAAATCGATTTTAGTTACTTATTAAAAAGATACATTTACTTGGTTCGTATCTAAATTTACGGGCTTCAGAAACAATATCAACGTTAAAATTATGATATGATATCCATTTTGTAATTGGGTTCCTACAGTTACAGTCAAACTTCCAATCATTTTGTTTGTACCAATGAAAAAAAATTGTGTAAAGATTTTCAGTAATTTGTGGTAACGAAATTCCTAGTAACCAGTTATGCATAGATTATGTTCATTGAAATCTCAAACATCCCTACAGAAACGGGCATAGCGGATGAGTTAGAAATATACATGCTATATAAAGGACTAAAGGATCATCGCTGTCAAATTTAAAATGGAAAATCCGTATGCATGCGATTCTGAACTTCGTATAAAATGTAAATATATGAAAAAAGACACAGCTCTGTTAATTTACTTCCAGAAACAGCAAGCATTTCTTTATTCATGATCATTTTTCTGTTTACGTTGTCTTTTGTTGATGATGGTTAATGTATCGGGGCATAGAGCCCTTCTTTTTTTATATCATCTGCCCTAAAAGTCTAGTGAGATTTTTCCATCACCTGGCGTCCGTCATCTGTCGTCGTCCGTCGTCCGTTAACTTGTACAAAAATCTTCTCCTCTGTAATTATTTTGCCAGTTGAAATCAAACTTGGCCACAATCATCATTGAGGTATCTCGAATGTCATTTTTTTCCAGGGGTTATTACACTTAAATAACGAGTTTTGCATTTTGATAAAAAAAAAAAAACTATAATAGATAAAGATAAATGGAAACAGCAAAACTGATCAGCAAGAGAAGATCTCAACAACTTTATCTAGACGGCTGAAAAGTCCGTTTACGTCTATAGGTGTTATTGCTCTTTAATGATGATTTTTATCCATTTTAAGCAAATTTGGACAAAAATATAATAGATAAATAAAAGTCGTAGGCAGCAAAAATGATAATCAACAAGACAAGATCTGCAAATAATTTACCACGGCCGAAGTCGTTGGTAGACTTCTTACAGTAGGAGTTATTACCATTAAATATCGCCGGATTTCAAGATTTTTGTTAGTCCATGGCCAATTTT